GGCGCTTTTTTTCTTTTTTTTTTACTGGCCCTTTAGCAGCGCTTTTGTATAAAGCGCTGTCTTTCTATGCGCTGCTAAAAGTGATTTCTGGCGTAGTGGGTTTTATAATTATAATATATAATATAACCACAATTGTTATAGAAGACCGTTGTTATATACTTAAAATGCATTGAGAATTGAACCTAGGACCTTTTATATATGACAATGGTTTTTTTATTAACCGCGATAATATATCATGCACATTCAGATTTTCTACAACGGTCATAAGACTGTGATTGTAAGTAGCGCATATACAACCACACCCTACGTAACAATGACAAGTCACGCGTGATGTTATCCCTTTTCCAACCGTTGTTGTATATGTTTTTCGTAGTAGTGCTCAAGTTATGTTTAACTATTTGAAGGAGACTCTTTCATCCTTTCACAAGGGAACATTTTTCTTCATTCCTTATGGACGAGTTCTTTCAGACTTGCTGACCCAACAGGAAGTTATCACAAGTACAAAGGATGATTCTTCTAAAATTTGGAGAGAAAAGCTTGAAGTTATCTATGAGAGTTTCTGATGTTTGATTTCTGCAAATAGATGCCTTGTAATTGTTAAACATCTTGTATTAAGCAGTCTTGTTATTAAAATTGTTCTTGTTCATATTCTTGTTCAAGTTCTTGCTTATATTAATTGTTATATATAAATTTTATCATTCTGTTTGAGAGAATAATAAATAGGATAAAACTCAACAAAATGCATCATTCTTATTGAAAAATTCAAAGTTGTTACAATTTCTTAACTAAACATTCTAGATATTTGGATCTTCTCTAAGGTATTCCCTATGCTCATCTGACATATCCATATTGTTTAAATAATCTTCCCAATCTTCTCGAGCAAACTTTATATCCCCCTTCCTCAGATTATTCATGCGTTTTGACATAGAAGTTTTTTTCTTCTTTGCGTTTCAACAAAGGTTGCTGAAGAAGTATATGCTTTTGAGGATGCCTGCTTGCTTGTAGACCCTTCAATTGCTGCATTCTTTGTACTTGCTTGAGTTGCTACATTCATTATTGTTGTCTTTTTGAATTCTCTCTTTAGAACCCAAATTTGTTTCTGCTTAACATTTTTGTGTTCAGAATATTAAGTAATTATGAAAGTCAGTTTACTGAGAGTTTTATAGAGTCTATTCATCCAAGTATCTTGAGTTTTTAATTGTTTTAGTTTTGATTAGTCAAATTAATCTTTTAACATTTTGACTCTTGAGAAGTGATGTCAAGTATTCAGTCCTATTAAGATTCTCTTAACATCTTTAAATATTGTTTTTTTTAATAAAGAAAACTTTATATAAAACAAAAAGAGGAATATACAAGGGTATAGACGACCCCATCCACAAAAAGCCACCAAAAAATCCACAAACTACTTTAAAATCAAATGAGCTATATAATGTCTCATTTTAGTATTACCCCACCCTTTATTTGCAAGGGCATAAATGACTAAATTTCTAATCTCCAAAATGTTCACCGTATTGCCAAAGACAGCGTTGTTACGATATCTCCAAACTTCATGGATGGTCTCCGCTAAAGCACTACGCAGAATGCACTTTCTCCAGCCTTTCCCTTTACAATGATTGATTAGCCATTCAAGCTCTTCACGACAAGCACAAGGGAACCGATGATACCCCAAACATCCCATAATTTGTTGCCAACAGGTTTTAAACGGCGGGCATTCAAATAAAAGATGGTCAATAGTTTCCACCTTGTCGCAAAAATTACATTTGTCGTCGGCCGTAAGGCCAAGCCTTTTGAGTCGACCCCTCGTCGCTAGCCTACGGTGGCAGGCCATCCACAAAGTAAAATAGGCTCGCGGTCTAGCAATGTTATTATAAAGCATGTGTTTCCAAACCCCATCAGGATCATCCTTTTTGAGAAATTGGTACACTTTCCCCACAGAGTATTTTCCTGTCATCCGTTCCAATTATCCATGCCAGTGATGATGATTCTATGTCTAAGAATAGCTTTTAAAATCCAAGACATACCCTGTTTTTCCTGGATCTGCATAAGATCTGTGGTTTTGAAATAAAACGTGTGGATCCATTTCACCCAAAGATTATCCTTTTTGTTACAAAGGTTCCACATCAGCTTAGATAAACACGCCACATTCCAATCTGATAAATCTACCACATCCAGACCGCCCTTCTTACGAGGTTTGAAAACCATCTTCCATGCAATTGGGGATTTTCTCGACTTTTCCTCGCTGCCTGTCCATAGAAAAGTCCTGCAAATAGAGTTAATAGTTTTGATCACATGCTTGGGGAATGGGAGGCAGCTCATCCAGTAAGCTGCAATTGCAGTGATGGTGCTATTGATCAACTGAATTCTTCCTGCATAGCTCAGTAATTTAGAACTCCAATGACGAATCCGACAAACTATTGTGTCCACCAAACTCATATAATGATGCGTTGACAGCCGTTTACAGGTGAGAGGGACACCCAAGTAACGAAACGGTAACTCCCCTTCCGTAAACGACGTAGAAACCAGGATGTTGGTTTTGGTCTCAGAATTCACCCCTCCGAAGTACACCCTACACTTCACAGGGTTAACCACTAAACCAGTAGACTTGGAGAAAGATTTCAATTGATTCATAAGCAGCTGAACAGATTCGCTATCTCCACGGGAAAAGAGGAGAACATCATCCGCAAAGCTGAGATCAATAATTTGTAGTTTTTCACACTTAGCATGGAAGTTGTAGTTGGGGACTCTACTTAACTGGTGCATAAGCCTGTGGAAGTACTCCATAGCTAAGACAAAAAGGAGAGGGGAAATAGGATCGCCTTGTCTAAGGCCCCGCTTAGCTTTCATGGTTCTAGTAATTCTGCCAGCAATATTGAACCTATACGACACTGTCGACACCGCCAGCATAATCCATTTGGTGAATTTGTGAGGGAACCCAAACTCCTTGAGGATACACTCTAGAGCATACCAATCCAAGGTATCATAGGCTTTTTGGATATCAAGTTGCAACAGACATCTAGGAGTACCGCCCTTTCTGGTGTAGCCTTGAATTAGCTCGTACGCTAATAAAATATGGTCATGGATGTTCTGTCTAGGGATAAAGGCAGCTTGGCTTTGGTTTATAATACTGTTAAGAACCTGACTCAACCTTCTAGTCAAGATTTTTGAGATGATTTTGTAGAGAGTAGTACAACAAGATATCGGTCTAAAGTCTTTCACACAATTACCACCATTACCTTTAGAGATCAAAGATACCAAAGTGCAATTAACAGCAGGGCACATGTTGAAATTGTTGAAAAAAATCCATAACAGCATCAATAGTATCCTGTTTAATGATACTCCAAGAAGCTTTGAAAATTTTTGCCCCAAAATCGTCAACACCGGGGGCTTTCAGATCACCAATATCATGTAGGGCACTATAGATTTCAGCTTCAGTGAGGGGACAAACCAACATAACTTGCTGCTCATAAGTGATGTGAGGACCATTTCTCATTGCATTCAGGTTTATACCCTCCATGTCATTATTAGGACTCCCCATGAGTTTGCCATAAAATGACAAGACCTCACTTTCAATATCCTCAGTCTTGCTAAGGATGTCACCTGTCACAGAACACAACTCAGTGATATCTCTACTATTTTGTCTAGCTTTTACCTGAGCATGAAAAAATCTGTTATTGCCATCTCCCAGTTTAAGCCAACTGATTTTTGATCGCTGCATGAGCACATGTTCCTCAATTTCACTCCAATAACAAACCTCAGCTGATCTAGTTTTGACAAGTTGAATTCAGGATTATTAAGGTCCACCCTAAGTTGCAACTGGGCTGATTGTAAATGTTGTCTAGCAACTTTGAGAGCAGCAGTGGCACCCAACAAAGGCTGACAAAACTTCTTCATCACAGCTTGGATTCGAATCAGCTTCCTCCACATGACAGACATGGGGCTACCCTGGATAGGGAGATTCCAGCTATTGGCAATGGTCTCATGAAATCCCTCAATCTCAGTAGAACAGTTAAGGAATTTGAACTGGGAGGTTTTCTTCACATTTTTATCAGGCCCAGATAGCAACAATAATGCATGATCATAAATGCCAGGGGTAAGGATATTAAGACACATATTGATGTACTGTTGAAACCACTCAATGTTAGCCATCCCATGGTCAATCCTAGAGTGAATGATATTATCACCTTGCCGATTGGACCAAGTGTAATAATCGCCCGCAGTATCCATTTCACTAAGATTACAATTGTTCATCATCACAGTTAGATCTTTATATTCTTTCATCTGCACCATGGCTCCACCTCTTCTATCAATAGTCTGAACAACATTGTTAAAGTCTCCAATAAGGAACCAAGGCCCCTGCTAGTTACAGTGAATGTGTTCAGTATCACTCCACAACTTCTTGCGATGATCCATTCTGTTTGCACCATAAACAGCTGTGAGCCAAAATTGAAACATACCCTGCAAATCATAGACACCACAGTGCAGGAATTGCCCAGTACTAGAAACTTTCCTGATATCAGTCTTGGCATTGTTCCACCATATCCATATTCTTCCATTAGCATGATCAGTATAGTTATCCATAAATGAACCTTTCAGTCTCATTTTGCACCTAATTTTATCAGCCTTATCTTGTTTCGCACGAGTCTCAAGCAAAATACAAATCAGTGGGTTAAGAGAACGGAGGCGGGAGCTAACCTCTTTAGTCTTAACCATTTTATTCAGGCCCCTCACATTCCAAGACACTAGCATTGATTAGTGTTTTGGCTGCTTCCAGGATCATTCAAAATTCCCAGCAGCCCAAAACCATTTTGGCATTGGATATTGTCATTCTCTTTTGCATTTCCTTTGACTGTCCTTTTGTTGCTGCTATTGCTAATTGTCCAAACCTCATCGTTCTGTTGGATAGCATTGTCACCTGTTGTTGGTGATACACTACTAATGTCACCTGTAGCAGTTTTTCCTCTTGAATTATCATTGGCTTGCACCCTTGCTGGTAGTGTATGCTATGTCACCTTTAACTTCCATTCTTTATGAGGCTTAGAAGGTTTATCACAATTATGACCGATCTTGTGGCAACGTTGGCAGTACAAAGGTTTCCACTCATACTCAATCGGCTGATTCAGTCGAGCACCTTTTTCATCTCTTATCAGAATATGTGTCTTTAGCTCTTGTGTAATGTCAATTTCCACCAGTATACGAGCATATGATACCCTGAGCTTGTTTGTCGTGCATTCGTCTGTTACCAGAGGTGTGCCCAACGCACTACCTATTTTACTAAGGCTCCTCGCGCCCCATATATGTAAGGGTAATTGGGGAAGCTTCACCCACAACGGAATGGTTCTAAGCATATCCTTACTCATACAGAAATCTGGTTTCCACTCACGCAGCATCATAGGTCTATTACAGATTGAGTACGACCCTTTCATCAAAACTAGGTCTTTGTCTTGGAATGAGTGGAATCGAAGGATGAAGAAACCTTCCTCATTGTAGAACATATCAGGTAATTTCACAAAATTCCAGCTCTTACTCATGAATTGTTTCACTGCATTCATGCTAAGGTCCACACCCAGTGCATACATGATAAGGGCAGATTCCCAGAATTTAACTTCCTTTTCAACATCTTCCTCTTCAATTTGGATTTCCATTTCTCCATCAATGATATTGGGGGCAACGAATTCCATGGTGAGACCCTTCGTCGGGTTACGGTTTTCATTGATGATATCAACCCATAGCTTCTTCGACTGGCTTGCTTCCACCTTCAATTTTCCTTCAGTGCTTTGATGACCTAGGTTTCCGGCGTCAAACACATTCTCTACATCCTCCTCAACCAGGCTACCATTTTCCACTAAGTTGTTTTGCAGTTCATCGTCCACCATAGCATCACTTCCCGTGGCTTGCTGATCAGAGATGACCGTCGTAGGGTCGGTTATTGACGGTGGCACCAAACGTGGCCACCCACATCCTCTCCCTCTCCCACGACCCATCACAATTTTTGTTTTTTTTCTATTATATTATTTCTATAGTAAAAATTAATATATAATACATTATTCTTTAAATATTATTATTAACATGTTAGTTGTTGTTCTTGTTTAGTCTGTTACTTCGTTCATGCTTTTGTCGGAAAATCGTAGAGAAAAAAATTAAAAGAGTACGCATGCAAATAAAATTAGTCCAAATCACTTTTTCATTAATCAATAATTTTAAAAGATTACAATAAAAGGAAATGGGAGGTACAAGGATTATTCTAATCTAATTCCTTCGTTGCCTTGCGACACATCCAATTTCCCCATTTGACGTCAGGTTTATCTTTATCTACATCCTCCTCTGCCTCTAAGACAATCAACTTTAAGAAGATTTCATCTATGACCCTTTTCTTTTTCTTTTTCTTCTTCATTGACTTCTTTATCAGTTTCAACTTAGTGGCAGAAGAACCTTCTTGTGTAGGTCTATGAGGTGCTGAAGACGAATCCTCGTCAGAAGTATTCAGTGTTGAGGATAAGAGATTAGTTGCGGACACCTCAGATTTAATTGGCCTTTGAAGATCTTGTATCTTCAGACTAGTAGAGCTCTCTGAGACCTCTGTCACAACTGAGATGTTAACAATTTCAGCTAATGACTCCATAGTGTTTTATTGGATGTTGATGAAAATGAAGTAGGCTTATGTTACTTTTATAGTGGATTATGGGTAACTCAAATGTTGTAATAAATTCCTTTGTTTGATTTTTGAAAATATTAACGACCAATAAATAATAAACATGCATTGCACAACTCTTTAATGATCTATGCTACTGGATCGTTTTCTCTTCCTTGAAAACTGGTCATGTAATGATGATCTGTTAATGCATTTATAGCTGTAATTCATTTCTTTCTCTTTTTTTATATTCTTTTTTATGTGACAAAAGGGGGAGAAAAATATAATAGTATTTAATAAAGAATATGAACCCTACAAATTTAATGTTGTTCATTTATAATTAATGAATTTTTTAATTTATGTAATTTTCTGTTATTTTTTTTTAATTTTTTTGTTTTGGTGATCTTGCCCGGATGATATATTTTAACTTTCTTGTATATAGAACTATGGGGGAACTTATAAACCTTAACCTTGGACTATTAGACTCATAGTGAGTTTACAAACCTGACACTCTGATGTTGCTTAGAGAATTAAAATATTTTTACTTGAATATAGTACTTAGGGGGAGTTTAAGAACTCAACCTTAAACTATTAGACTCAGGGGGAGCTTACAAACCTCATACCCTGATGTTGTCAAGAAATTTATAACTGCCCAATATTATTCTTTAAATACTTATGTTTGTCATCATAAAAAAAGGGGAGATTGTTAGAACAAGATTTGTTCATGACACATATCTCTTGGATTTTGATGATAACAAAGTATTGAAAGAACAATGATGTCATCTAATGTGGGTTTCAAGTATGCAGGTTCTATGGCTTGAAAAGAAGGCGTTCATAATCTGATATAAGGACACATTTGAGAGAAGCTAAGTGTTGCGGTGAAAATTGGGTATCAAGCTATTAAATTAACTTGAATCTTAATTCTTTTACAACCGAACTTTATTTTATCCAAAGGAAAGGTCTAAAGAAAGAAAGACCTTTTTCGCGATGTAACGACAACACTTAAGAGATTTGGAGATCGGGGGTTGGTTATACCTAGGGAAGGTGTTAGCACCCTAAGCATCTGTAGTACCCTATAGGAACCTTTTGTTTGATTGTTTGCTAAGTTTGTGAATATGTACTATGGATTAGGGATAAGTAAAGACCTAGATGGTTTTCTAAGTTTGCTCGCAAAGACATCGCATCTTCTGCCTACGTATCCTAACTAGGATAAAATCAGAGCAATCGTAGTTCACCTTACAAGGGATAAAGAACACTTGATTATGATCAAGGTTCAAAGGGGAACAAACATGACAATGTTTGTGTGGAGTTTGAAAAAACTCCCTAATCTAAATTGTAACACTCAAAAGGGGAAGTAAGAAATCATGACAATGATCCTTACATATAGTTGACAAACTCTATCCTAGGGTTCTAGTTGAAGAACTCTCCTAGTACAGGTGGTTTTTTAGACTTAAAGCAAAGTCTAATGGTTTCTAAACTAGGGTTGAAATGACTTAATAAAGTCAAGGGAATGGGTGAATGAGTTATCCATAACATAAGGGTTATTGGAAAGATCTTTTCCTTTAGAGAGGGACAGGAGAGGCAACTTTGGATGAGAGCTAACAAGCTTCATCACTTGGGGAAAGAAAATTTTGAACAAGATAACAACATAATGAATATGCATTCATGGTGACAACCATTAGGTGAGCATGTGAAATGATAAAAATTAAAATGCATTGGTGACGATCAAAGCAGTTGATTAAGCAGGAAGTGTGACAACAGATCAAGCTTGTATTTAGCATATGAAGTAAAAATGAACATGGTTACAACCAAAGATGAAATCCTAACATGTTAGCTAACATTTAATAACATGAATGCAAACAAATATTACAAGCAATCACAAGTATATCAAAAGAAAAAATCATTTGCGTACGCGAAAACGATCACAGAACGTACATAACTTGCACATAGTCAAAAGAGCTGAAAAATTAGGCAAACATGGAAATAAAAAATATGACATGAAAGTAGACATCAAGATGAACAAAATGCAAAAAGAATCAACTAAAAATAAGGAAAAATGAAGGAGTTATGAATTTTGAAAGTTCATGAAAAAATATGCAAATATAATACAAAGTGAAAATAAAAAGAAGGAAAAATGCAAGGGGTGGGAATTGAACCCACGCCCTCTGACTAGATCAGCACGCATGTGAAAAATGAAAAAAAGTAAAAGGTTGATCCTCCTCAGGGATCGAACCTAGGTTCAAAGGGTACAAGGCGTGTTTTATGGCAAGGTTCTTACCACTGGGGTGGCTATACATCCGTTATGTAAAGCCACCCCATAAATATATATGGTATAACTTCAAAATGAATCTGGGCAAACATGAAGAACCAAGGCCAAGCCCAAATTGATTTGCGTTTTGATTCATATCTCAGCCAAATCTTAATGGTTTTTAATGAAACTTTAGTCAAACTCGTGTGATTTTTAACAAGGAATGCAATGGTGGTGTTGGAATTGTGAAATAACACTCCTAAATAAAAACACGATAGCACATGCATTTTGAGTTTTGAAATTGCATTTTGATGATCAAGTACAGTTCTAATCATTTTCAAATCAAACCAATTACATACACACACGATGAATATGTTGATGAATGAGTGTGAGCACAATGTGGAGTTCAAAACAAACTGTGGTGAAGAATGCTGTTCAAGTTGCAAAATTGACATGTTTGATGCATATTGATGTTCAACTCAGTTTTTATGCATACTCAAATCAAGTAGGTCACATACACACATTGCAAATATGTCCATGAATGATTTTGAACACAATGATTAAGCCTAAACAGACTGTGATGACAAATGAGGATCAAGTTGCAAGTTTGACATGAATAAAAATGCATGATGATGTTTAGTTCGATTTCTATGCTTTACACAAATCAAACAAGTTACACATACAAATCATATTCATGCTGGCAAATGAATTTATGCTCAAAGTTGGGGTTCAAGACAGGCTGTGGTAAAAATGTTGATCAAGTTACTCTTGGTGTTTTGATGAAATGCAAGAGAATGCTCAAATCAGTTTCAATGCATATTTTGATCAAGTGGATCACATACACACAATACATATCCATAGACAAATGAGTTCAAGCAAGAGAAATAGTCTGAGATAGTTTGGCATAAAAAATGACATTCAAGTTGCATTTTGAGGTTTTGGTGATGCATGAAAAAGTTCAGTTCAAGTCTTATGCATATTTAAGCCAAGTAAATCACACATACACCTTGCAAACATGTTAACAAATGAGTTCAAGCACAAAAATGGTTTCAAAATAGGCTGTGACAAAATATGGTCTTCAAACTGCACTTTGGTGTTTTGATGAAGCATAAAAAAGTTCAGTTCAATGTTCTAGGCATTTCAGATCAAATAAAACATATGTACACCTTAAAAACATGTAGACAAATGATTTTGAACACAAAGATTGGTCTCAAACAGGCTGGTATAGAAAGTAACAAGCAAACTGCAGTTTTGGGCATTTGATGAATACATGAAAAGTTCAAATCAAGTTTAATGCATATTTAAGTCAAACAAACTACATACACAACCCATGTACATGTTAACCAATGATTTCAAACACAAAGGTCATCTACAAAGTCAATTGAAATGAAAATGGCATGCTTGATGCAAGTGACATGTTGAAAAGTAAGTTGAAAATACAAAAACAGGTTCTATGTGTTTTCAAGCCCAAGCAACATTTCAGCCAAGTTGTAAACATGCATACCATTGATTCCAAACACACAAACAAGTCCTAAAACCAATAAGAGTGAAAGTGACCTACTCATGGCAACAAAGTGACATTTTGAAGGGCAATAAGAAGTTCAAAACAAGTTTGGAAGCATGTTCATGTAGAGCATTCATTTCACACAAGCTACATATCAACTAAATGAGGCTTTTACATTCCAAAACTAATCAAAAACTAAGAAAATCCAAAACTGGTATGGTGATGCTCATTTATTAAAAAAATGCATTTTGAATGTCATGTCTTAAACCAGATGCAAATAACTTAAGTCAGGTATTCACACACATTGTAAGCATGACATATAAGGTATTGGGACCTACAAAACCAGCACATATCGAGCAATACAACAATTTGGTATTTTGATGCAAACAAGTGATTCAAAATTTGACAGCAGCAGGGTACTTTTTCAAGGATGATGTTTTTCATGATGAACAATGGTATATGCATACTAGATACATGATGACAAATGTGTTAGACCACCAAAAGCAGCCATACCTCCCTCAACATAAATCTTGGCATGTGATTCCAAAAACAGTGGCAAGACAAAACTTAAATGACAAATGCCAATGATATGTTTTCATGA